GCAGTCTTTTTTCAAAGAATACGAATGTAACAATGAACTCAGGTAGAGGGATGATGAAACTGAAATGCACTCGTTATGCGTTTTTGCATGTGTGCAAATGCAAAAACACATGTTATAACGGCCCATAGTTTGTGTGTGTATGCATGTGTGTACGTATGTTCGGATATTTCGACTCGGCAACAAAGCACACTTCGACGCACACGTGAATATAGAATGTCCCTGCAAAATTTCAGATTCGCAGCTTGTCTAGCAGCCGTATTCGCCTCTTCACTACAGATATCTTATGGTTTGACACAAATTAAATTCGAGATTCCATTTGGGTGTACAAGTCCCAAGATGAATGATAAATACTCTCGCAAAATTACAGCCATTGTTTTCCTGCTAGTTCTCAAGTTGAGAGTACCAAACGAGAACCTTGATGTGAGTATACCCGTGACGTGAGCTTGCGTGATAGTTGAATTTGAAATTTTCAGCCTATACATGGACAAAGAATATATCTACAAAGTTTCAGCCTCCTACGAAATCGTTTTCTGACAAAAAATTTGTGTCTTTACAGGCGTCGGTATGTGAGATCTAGGCGTAATTGATAAGCGTTTATTTTAAAACGAGAAGTGCCACAAAAGATGAGAATATGCTCCTATAATTTCAGTTTCTCACCTTTTCCGGTTACTGAGTTGAAAACGGACGAAGATGATCACTCGCCTTCGAACACACACATACACAGAGATAACTTGACAGTATGCATTTTTGCATTTGCATAAGATGCAAAAACGAATAAAAATAGCATAATATTTTCTTTTCGGGCATATTCGGTTCAATTATGAATGCGGAAAAAGGTCGGCGCCATCCCTCAGTCAGACAATTGAAGCGTGCTTCTCTTTTCAAAGGTTAGCATTAGCTTGAGCTTAGAATGTGCCCTTGCGCCCGAGGCATCGTTTGTTGGCTGCGCTTAACAGTTTTTTAGGATATGTGCCGCTAGCCGTGGGTTGTATCGCTTTCCGACTAGTAATTGCAAGCCCTAGTCTGGCCTTACGATTTTTCTACACAGACACAAATACACACGTACACACAGACAGACAGATCCAGAGACAGACACTCACAGACACAGAGGATGAGCAGCAACGGGAGCATTAAGCGCAGACGGCATTCAGGATTGCAATTCTTTGCTGCTGTGAAGTCACCGCGGACGCCATTTTCGTTGTTGGTGGATGATGCAGTTGGTGGTGGCGGCCGAGTTAAATGGGAAAAGCAGCCAAGTGGACTTGTCCTTGTCCACACTGTCGCTACACTCGCTTCCTGTCCTGTGGTATCCTGGCTGGTGCTGCTGCTGCTACTGCTACTCCTACTC